ATATTGGTCAAATTGTCGATTCTTAAAGAGTCGATTTACTAGATATCTGTCATATTGTCGATAACACAGAGTCGATATTCTGGATATCAGTCATATCATCCATCATTAGGAGTCAATATACTGGATATCAGTCATATTGTCGAATACAAAGAGTCGGTAGTCTGGATATCAGTCATATCATCTACAACTAGGAATCGATTGCATGGATATCAGTCATATTGTCGATTACAAAGATTCGGTATTCAGGATATCAGTCATATCATCCATAACTAGGAGCCGGTTAACTGGATATCAGTTTATTGTCCATAACTAGGAGCTGATATACCTGATTTCAGTAATTTGGTCGATTACAAAGAATCGATATTTTGGATATCAGTCATATCATCCATTACTAGGAGTGGATATACTGGATATCAGTCACATTGTCGATTACAAAGAGTCGGTATTCTGGATATCAGTCATGTTATCATTACTGAGTTGATATTATGGATATCAGTCATATAATCCAATACTTGGAGCCTATATACTGAATATCAGTCATATTGTCAATTTCAAAGAGTCGATATACTGGATATATGTCATATTATCGATAACAAAGAGTCGGTATTCTGATATCAGTCATAATCTATTACTAGGAGTTGGATGTCAGTCATTTTGTCAATTACAAAGATTCGATATACTGGATATATGTCATATTGTCGATTTCAAAGAGTCGGTATTCTGGATATCCGTTATAGTGTCCATTATTAGGAGTTGGTATCCTTTGCATTTGTCGTATGGTCTATAACTATATACGCTATACGTTATATTATCCATTTCTTAGTTTCGGTGTAAAGGACATCTATTTCTGTGATAAGAATATGATATACAGGATAGCCGTAAAATTGTCAACAAGGAGGATTTAATGTACAAGATGTCTGTCGCATTTTATGATTACTATGAATTCGTATCAGATATCTGCGATTTTATCCATAAATAGAATTTGGTATACAAGATATCTGTGATATTGACCATTGCAATGACTCATATAGAATATCTGTCATATTGACCATAAAAGTGATATTAATTTGCTCATAACTAGGATTTGGTATCCAGGATATTTTTCATATTGTACATTTGTAGAATTTGCTGTACATGATATCTGTCACATTTTCCATAACTAGGATACGGCATACAAGGATATTTGTCATATTGTACATTTATAGGAATTGGTATACATGATATATGTCATAGTGTCCATAAATACGATATGGTATACAGGATTTCTGTCTTATTGTCCATTACAAAGAATCGGTATGCATAATATATATCACTATGGTTTTCAATTCCTACTATTCGAAGTATACTGCTATAGTTTATATTAGTCATAATTTCTTTCATTTCCTTTGTTCTTCTTTGCTGCTTCACTAGTTGAGTACCGTATTAATATTTCAAATACGTCTTACCCATGCCTCCAATGTGTAAAATCTATCCTTTAATCCTATATGTGACGATACGTTTCTAATATATTCGAGGTAATGGCAATGATTGAGGATAGACGAGAGAACCATTGGAGTCAGTTAACATAGAAATTATTTGTTGTCTCCCGTTTAATACATTCGTGAACTTATCTAAAATATGACTTACACTGTCACTGTTTAATTTATTTTGTTAGCTACCCCACGAGAGCACATAATACGCCCGTCGCCCTTTTAGTTTTGATGATTTTTCAACGAATAAAGTTCCATAACTCCGCAATGTCATATCAGAAATTTATATATAATAAAAGGAGCTTATTTCAGTAGATAAAATCAAGTCACCATAGTTTCATGAAAACTGCTCAAAGCCTTTTTGAGTTATTGTCTGAAAACTGGAAAATCCGACTTTTTATGAATAAAATTTCATAACTCGGAAAAGAAAAATCTAAAAGTTATAAAAATCGAAAGGTAGCTTACGTCAATAGATGTAAACAAATAACCAAAGTTTCATGAAAATTGGTGAGAGTGTTTTGGAGTTATTGTCCGAAGTGTTGACGACGGACGGACGGACAACGGTATATATAATACGTCCCGTCTTAGACGGGCGTTTAAAAACTTAAGTACTACCAAATACCAAATGCAGAAGACACCAAGGAGCATTAAAAAATAAATCGATGAAAGACAATCAACTCTATGGCAAAAAGTAAGTAGAAACAAGTTTACATAATACATAATAAAATGCTCCGCAGGGCGCAGCTTGATACGACCGCAGAGGTCGAACCCTGAACAGTTGGGGCAAGTATGGACACAACATTCAAGCTTGATACAGCTCTGAATTTGGATTGTGATTAAATATTTGACACAGCATAGGTTTCTGACACAGAATGAATGTGGTCTAAGAACTTAAAAATTTTAAATTGGACATTCACCTATTATGGTCCAATATCCAAAATCTAAATACATGGTTAGATTCAGCATATCGAAGAACCCCAAGAATTCAATTTTTGATGAAATCAAACAAAGTTTAATTTTGGACCCTTTTGACCTCAATGTGGACAAAGATGATAACGGGGCCCAAAAATCTAAATACATGGTTAGATTCAGCATATCAAAGAACCCCATATATTCAATTTTTGTTGAAATCAAACAAAGTTTAATTTTGGACCCCGATTTGGACCAACTTGAAAACTGGGCCCATAATCAAAAATCTAAATACATGTTTAGATTCAGCATATCAAAGAACACTAAAAATTCAATTTTTGTTAAAATCAAACTAAGTTTAATTTTGGACCCTTTGGACCTTAATGTAGACCAATTTGAAAACGGAACCAAAAATTAAGAATCTAAATACATGGTTAGATTCAGCATATCAAAGAACCCCATATATTCAAGTTTTGTTGAAATCAAACAAAGTTTAATTTTGGACCCCGATTTGGACCAACTTGAAAACTGGGCCCATAATCAAAAATCTAAATACATGTTTAGATTCAGCATATCAAAGAACACTAAAAATTCAATTTTGGTTAAAATCAAACAAAGTTAAATTTTGGACCCTTTGGACCTCAATGTGGACCAATTTAAAAACGGGGCCAAAAATCCAAAAACTTAATACACGGTTATATTCAGCATATTAAAGAACCCCAAGAATTCAAGAATAAAACCCCATTGAAATTGATCAAGAAATAAGCAATTTATAAGAAGTATCTTCTTTTGCACAATACTGTGCAATTGAATATTTCTTGCTATTGCGCAATACTGTACAATTGACAATTTCTTGCTATTGCGCAATATTGTGCTATTGGATATTTCTTGCTATTGCGCAATACTGTGCAATTGAAGATTTCTTGCTATTGTGCAATACTGTGCAATTGAAAATTTCTTGCTATTGCACAATACTTATTATATAAAAATTTACACATCCTGTTTGGTGTGTATCTCCTACCATATCATTATTATTTGCTTTTAAGTATAAATCAGAAATAACCAACTTAAAATGGAAAATTTTAAAAGAAAAAAAAAGGAAAAAAAGAAAAAAAAAAGAAAAAAAAAAAATCCCCCCCCCCAAAATTTTTTGAACCCCCTTATGATTCATCACCCCCAAACTCAATCCCAGCCTTCCTTTTGTGGTATGGTACCTTGCAGTACAATTTCAGAGAGATCCATACACTTGAACACAAGTTATTGTCTTGAAACTAGAAAAATGCTTATTTTTGGCCCCTTTTAGGCCCCCAATTCCTAAACGTTTCAGGCAATTACCCCCGAACTCAATTCCAGCTTTCCCTTTGTGATATGAAACCTTGTAGTACAATTTCAGAAATATCCAAACACTTACACACAAGTTATTGTCATGAGACTAGAAAAATGCTTGTTTTTTGCCCCTTTTTTGGCCCCTAATTCCTAACATTTTGAGGCAATTACCCCCAAAATCAATTCCAGCATTCCCTTTGTGATATGGAACCATGTGGTACAATGTCAGAGAGATCCATACACTTACACACAAGTTATTGTCTGAAAGTTACAAAAATGCTTATTTTTGGCCCCTTTTTCTTCGGACGACGCCGGACGACGCCAGACGACGACGACGACGACGACGACGACGACGCCAACGTCATACCAATATACGACCAAAAAAATTTTAATTTTTGCGGTCGTATAAAAATTGAGGAACACGAACCTCAATAAAAACTGGTGAACTCATGTGCTTCGGAAAAGGTAAGAGTTCGATTATTCGCATCCGTCTTGTTGCTCATTTCATACAAGACTCATGTAACTTTTTTAATTCAGTCTGGTATTTGTGAATGGTTGTTCATGATTATAAGCTTTGGTATCGTGTGTATTTTATCAATCACAGTTTCGGGGTGTCATAATAATTGTATGTTCAAATGATTACAATGAAAAATTACCATTGTTGTATGGTTGCCGTCTCGTCTACGTTTACTTTACTAATATTCATGCAAAAATGGCTTCCAACGCGTCACAATCAAAGAGAGGCGAAAGATATCAAAGGGACATTTAAACTCATAAGTCGAAAATAAATTGACAACACCATGGCAAAAAAAAGAAAAGAAAAAGACCAAAAGACAGACAGCAGAATACAAAACACAACATAGAAAACTTAAGACTGAGCAACACGAACCCCATGCACCAAAAACCGGGGGTGATATCAGGTGCTCCGGAAGGGTAAGAAGATACTGCTCCACATGTGGCACCCGTCGTGTTGCTCATGTAAGCAATAAGACATGAACCAAATGCTTTAAGTGGTAATTTTCGGTTGGAAAAATTGGACATATAACGACTTATGCCCGGAGAATCCGGAATGTTGAAGTTGTCTTTGAACCATAATTATCACGGTAATACGTTTTGTCCATTGGTATGTTTATATGTCTATGCAATTTGATGAATGGCACTGGCTAATGAGAGGTTTCAAACAGAACTAGAAACTTGATCAACTTGACATATTCAGTCTTGTTAGTAACTGTTTTAACTACTGAATTTAAAACAGAGATACTCTTGTTCGTAATAAAAAAAAACTAACTGCACAAAACAACTGTCAAATTTATTTAAGAACTTGTTTTAAACAAGGGCTACACTCATAATATAACAGATTTTCGTACTTTCACACGTATGTGTACATAACTGATATCGCATAGACTAATGTAACTTGCAACTTTTGCTATTAAGTATAATTTCTAAAAATGGAAATTACAAAACATTCCTAAATTTGTAGTCTATAGGCCTACAGTACCTATCGATACACCGTTATAATCCGAAACTATAGGTACACGACTGTAGACTAGAACTTATGAGGGATTAATACTTATCAAAACAGCCAGTTCTTAGCCATTTTGTTGTCACTTGAATTAGTGTTAGGGTGAAATATTTTGATGAAAAACATGATAAAGCTTTATGTTTAGTTTCTGATTTGATCTGCTTTCGATGTAACAATAAATTTCCTTTCAAATTGGAGATATTTAATTCAACCTACCAATTTTGTTTTCTAATCAACATCTTTGCTCTTAAAATATTTAAAGTAATCTATAACACAATCAATTTCAAATAATCAAAAGTTATAAAAGTAAATAATTTTGTGGGAAATTTGTCATCTAGTTATGTTATTAGCGACTCGCTATTTCAATTATTGGATGTTATTATATTTATAGCTGCTAGTCAACTTCATTAATGAATTAATCATGTACAAGTGTTTATTTTGACAGAATTGTCAAAACTTATGATGATTGCACTCAGTAATAACATAATGTATCAAAAGAATACACAGATAAGATACAAGGATTCGTTCTGATGGCTCAACCCCAAATTAGGTTTCTATGTAAACCAATATGATTGCTGCAATGCGGCTACGAGATATCGCGAGATTACCTGTGACATAACCCATAATGCAATACGAAGATCGTCTGCTTGGCAAGACAGCAGATAAGAAACAAATTTGATAACAGAGATCAGTGAGAGGTAGCTGGAAGCTAATGATGAAGATCAGAGGGAATGCTTAAGTTTCCATGGTAACATAACAAAAAAGAAAAAAAATCAGTCAGAACAATTTGTCGATATATACACAAGTGCTATTATATAAAACTAATCTGTTATAAAACGTCACTCACACAGTCTTTCAGAATATCACAAACTGATAACTGTTTAAATTATCCGGAAAACATTCGTTCGGAAAACTGGTTAGAAAACCGATTATATTTAAAAACCAAAAATAGGAATATGAGTTTTCTTTCACAAATCACTACTTCCCGGTATTCCATCAGTTGTCGTTTGGTAATTGTAATTATAATCCGTTCTCTTTTGATTACGACCTGGATATGTACCGTAATTATTTTCAGTCGTCACACGTTTAACGGATTTTTGAGTTTTTCTTGAATTACTGGTTTGTTGGGGTCCAGTGTTCCAAGCACGAATTTTTCTATTGTAATTATCCGTTTTCGTAGGCAATGGAGGTGGTGGTGGTGGTTCTTGTCTAGAAGTCCGTTGCGGGTAACTCTCTTCCTGCGTATACGTCGAGGTTTCTGTACCTAAAAATGAAACAAAATTGTCCTCATCAATAAAATACTAGTAATTAAAAATTGTACAATTATTTTAGGATTTGATTAACGTTCAGTGACAAATATCTCATGCATATTCAGGACAATAAGAAATAAAAAAATATATCCAATAAGTCGGTTCTGAAAAGTGGATCGACCGCGATGAAGGGCGGAAAATGTAGAGTGCAACTTTAAAAAATAAAGGTATGTTGAATAGGAACAGACATTTTGTCTATCAACTTGCCACTTACGAACCCTTCAAAAATGCCTGGCAAACGGTATTTTACCTGTAGAGACAGCCACAACCACAACGCTGCTTAGTCTAGGGAGGAGAAAATCACTCGGGGAAAGATTTTGGATAAGAAAATTAAAAACGTTGGCACCAAATGGGATCAATGAAAAAGTGTATTTCAAATCGCACTGCAAACAACCGTAGCTGGATGTGTTAGTTTAATTTTGGATACATAAATACACAGCCTTTGTTGTTAATAATAAATTTTCGTGAACTTTTGAAATTTTAGAATTATACAAGCGTGGTTCGGTTCTTAATTTGTATTAAGATTGTTTTAGTGAAATCAAATTAAATTGGTAAGATTCATTTTACATCATACTGATGAAGGATATCTGTTATCCGAAATATTTATTGATACTTGTATTTACTGTTTCTTTTTTTAATATTGATGTATTTTTGTACACTTTTAGACGTAAATATAATTATTTATACTCGTCGACAGTGCAATATTAAATTTGTAGAGATTATTGACACTGTACCTCATGCATGATAAATTACCGACATATTGTGGTAAGGGGAAAGATGGTACCATCAACACATCCAGCCGCTCCGCCTGGAGCAGCTGGATACGACCGCAGAGGTCGAACTCTGAACAGTTGGGGCAAGTATGGACACAATATTCAAGCTTGATACAGCTCTGAATTTGGATAGTGATTAAATATTTGACACATTATAGATTTCTGACACAGAATAAATGTGGTCAGATAACTTAAAAATTTTGTAATGGGACATTTAATCTACTTAATGGTCCAATATCCAAAATCTAATTCCATGGTTAGATTCAGCATATACATGTATATAAAAAAATGAATTCAAACAAAGTTTAATTTTGGACCCTTTGGACCTTAATATGGACTAATATGATAACAGGGCCCAAAATAAAAAATCTGAATGCACAGTTAGAATCAGCATATCATAGAACAATAAGAACTCAGTTTTTGAGGAAATCAAACAAAGTCTAATTTTGGACCCTTTGGACCTCAATGTAGACCTATTCAAAAAATGTCCAAATATCCTATATAATAATACATGGTAAAAACCTCAAACAATTCAAGACTTTAAATTAATCCTTATTGAAATTGGTTAAAAGATTTGTATTTATTTTCAATTGAAGATTTCTTGCTGTTGTGCAATACTTTGCTGTTGCGCAATACTTAGTAAATCTGTTTACAAACTGAATATAATAATTTACACACCCTGTTTGGTGTGTATCTCCTGCCATATCAGTATTTGTTGTTTCTTTATATCGATCAGAAATAATTTTTGTTAGAACCAGCTTAGCCAGTATTAGAAAAGTATTGTTTTTGGTCCCTATTTGGCCTCTAGTTTCTTAACGATAAAAGCCACAACCCACAAAATCGACCCCAACCTTTTGTGTGTGGTATGGAACCTTGTGGTACAATTTCATAGAGATCCATTGACTAATACTTAAGTATTTGACCGGAAACCAGAAAAACCTTGTTCCTCCCCCCTTTTTGCCCCTTATTCCTGAACGGTTTGCGCCATAACCCCAAAGTCAAACTAAACCTTCTCTTTGTGGTATGGAACCTTGTGTTTCAATTTAATAGAGATCCATACACTAATACATTTTGTACTTAAGTAATTGTCCATTAAACAGAAAAACCTTGTTTTTCTCCTTTTTTTTGCTCCTAATTCCTGAACGGTTTGGTCATAACCCCAAAGTCAATCCCAACATTTCCTTTGTGGTATGGAACCTTGTGGTACAATTTCACAGTTATTGTCTGGAAACTAGAAAAATGCCCTTTTTGGCCCCTTTTTGACCCCTAATTCCTAAACAGTTGGAACCATAACTCCCAAAATCAATCCCAACCTGCCTTTTGTGCTATTGAACCTTGTGCTTAAATTTCATACAGATCCATTCAGTTATACTAAAGTTATTGTCCGGGAACCAAATGTCTTCGGACGACGACATGATAGCAATATACGAACGCAATTTTTTTGCGGTCGTATAAAAATGTTTATGATACTAATTTAATTTTGTTCAAAATATATCTAACTTTTAAAGAACGTGTTTTAAAACGTAAATATTAACTCAAAGTTGATGTGATAATTTGATTGTGACCTTTTTTTTCGATTGATTTTTTTTTAGCAAAGAATAGTCTAATTTATGAAACATGTTGGCTAAATTACTTTACATCTCAGGCAATAAAGATAAACACAAAATCAACTCCATATGTGATTGTTTTTTGACGAAGGTTGTCTTGCTTTAATCTGTATATAATTTCTAAGCATGCAAGTCAAGATTTGCTATATTCCAACGTTTTTTTTCTATATTCAGTATCACTGTAGTATTGTATAAGTCATGTTTATAGGAAATATTTTAAACAACAGTCGCATTTTTATAATGGTTTGAAATTTAATTCTGCAAGAATTACTTGGACTACCAAAATTCTGCTATCTGGAGAAACAAAATTAGAGCAGATCATATTAACCATGTGAGCCAATTTGTAACGAACTCTTGAAAGTAATATATGCAATTACATAAAATATCAATTAATATGGTCTAGTTGTTCTTTCTCTAAAAAGGAACGTAATGAAAAATAAGAATGACACGTGTCAGTAAATGTTACTTTACTACATGACACTGGTCAGTAAATGATACTTTACTAAACGACACTGGTCAGTATATGTTACTGGTTAGTAAATGTTACTTTACTACACGCCACTTCCTAATACACGGCTACATCGAATTACTTTATCGCTCAACTAAATGATGTCAAAGTTATCCTCCATGGACTAAATTGTACCGATTGAAATTTCTATGTGCATGTATTAAACTCCTCCTGACAGAAAATTAGGGTAAGAAAATAGATAAAATGACTTTTATTTTGAAAAGACAATACTTGAAATAGACTTTATACATATATATATATATATATATATATATATTATATATATACAGGGACACGTTCTGGAATTTTTAACCAAAAAAGTCTGGGCTTTCACGGTTCTTTACCAAAAACGTCCATAAAATGTGTTAGGGTAGGCATAAAAGTGAAGGCAATGTAGAGAGGCAGAAAAAAGAAATTTATTAATAAGGCATAAAAATGGTAATGTGATCGAACACTAAACTTTAAACAATTATTACCAAAATGTGTCTTGGATTCGATTATTTATAAATAGTATGACTACTATAGTGCACAAACTAAGCCATATCTTGTGCTTTTATTCAACCTCATCAGCCAAAGTTGACCTAGGATGGTCTTTTTATCCTCTTTAGATTATCTAAGCTGCAAAACATTTCGGAATTTTGGGTCCTGAGTGCTCTTCAACTTCGTAATTTGCATATTTATATCTTGTATTGCTGATCGTTTTTGCTTTCGACAGTTTTTAACTATGATCTACTATAGTTTTGTAGATAATAGACAAAGGGCATTTGTTTCTCCTATAAGGGGTCAATTGACAATTCCCGCAATGCTGAATTATTTTGCTTAACATTTTGATAGATAATTTCTCCTTATCTATCATATTTCCTGCAAAACATGCAAGAATGAGTAAAATCGTCTTCAAGGGCAATAACTCCTATAAGGGGTATATTGACGATTTAAGCCATGTTAAAACAATTGTAAATTAAAGTTTTTATTTTGCTAAACATTTTTCCTATTTACAATTTTGCTCTATCTATCTATTATAGTTTCTGCAAAAACGCAAAGTGTGTAGAAATCGCCTTTAAAGGGCAATAACTCCTATAAATAGCCAAAAGACGATTTTGGTTATGTTTCCTTGTTTGTAAATCATATTTTGCTAAGCATTTTTACTATATAAAGATGGTCTCTTTCTGCAATAGTTTCTGCAAAAAAAGAGCTGAAAAATGAATAAAAAAAAACCCCTTCCAAGACAATGGGACAATAACTCCTATAATGGGTCAATTGACGATTTTTGTCATGTGATTGATTTGTAGATCTTATTTTGCTGAACATTTTTACAGTATCAAGACTCTCTTTATCTACAATAGTTTCACCAAACCAGAGGCTCTAAAGAGCCTGTGTCGCTCACCTTGGTCTATGTGCATATCAAACAAAGGACACTCTCCAACATTGTAGACGAGAATAGACTTCATGACAAAAATCTCTATTTTGTTGATCTTGTATTGCTGATATTTTGGTCTGTTTAGTTTCTCTCTGATTGTGGCTAAGTTTGGTTAAATTTGTCTCAGTAGTTTCAGAGAAGATTTTTGTAAAAGTTAACGACGACGGACGATGACGGACGACGGACACCAAGTGATGAGAAAAGCTCACTTGGCCATTTAGGCCAGGTGAGCTAAAAATGCAAAAAGGGTATAAATTCAAGGCCAATAACTCATATAAGGCGCCATTGACCATGTTGATTTATTTGTAGATCTAATTGTTTTGGCCATTTAACCTATTTAAGTTTTTCTTTAATTTATAATAGTTTTCAAGATCTAATAACCAAAAACTGCGAAGTTTGGTAAAAACTACATTTCACGAAATGTAACTCTAAAAGAGAGGCGTGCGATTTAACACGTCAAAATTATGATAACATTTAAAGACGTATGATATGATCTCGTCGCACACAATACCATGCACGTGTTTTTTTAATAACGTATGGTATTATTTCGGTGCACACAACACCATGCACGTGTTTCTAGAATAACCTATACCAGGTACGAATAAGATCAAATGTTTAAATTGGAAAGCAAAAAATATTAAGTGTATATAAACCAAAAGAGCATAAACAGAACAGTCGAAGGTCAATTTTGCCCGGAAGAGTTACAATCTAATTCTTTAGCACAATTTTTATGTCAGAACTGCACATTTTCAGACAGAATATATCGTTTAAATCATACCAAAACCAAAACCCTGGCTTCTGGGCTTGTAGTTCCCCTCTGGAACTGAAAGTTCACCAGTAGGAGTATATCGAGATCCATTGGCAGTGAAACCGTATGATATGATGTACGTGCACATGCACAACGCGTTTTTCTTGAATAATCTTTATCAGGTACGCAAGAATTAAAGTTTTGAAAGCAATCAATATGAAACGTTTGAGGGCATAGAAACCAAAAGAAAAGAAGGAATAATGACATAGTTAGGGAAGAGATGGATCCAATTTTAGCGTATTTGTTTCACTTATCGGATTCAATTTCAAACTTGTTAAAATCTACTGGAATTTGAAAATAAAAGAGTCTATGAAGTATATTTTATAAAAAAAAAAGTTAACATGATACACATATCCAAAATAATTCAATGTTATTGAGCGTTAATTATTGCTAATTTGCTATTGCAGACTTGTTTTGTAAGCTTATACAACGGGAGACATCTTCAACAAAACTGAATTAATTTGCATATCTAACAGATAATATATTATTGCTTTATCAATGGAATTAGTGCTTGTTTTGGAATTCATTTTTGTGTATACTCAATATTTGTCAAACTATGTCAAATTGCAGTTTTGAGCTTACTTAAAGAATTTACAGTTTTGAGTTTACTTAAAGGATTATAATTTGATATATAAATTTAAACTAATTTGGAAATCCAAATGTGTGTCTGCTTCATGTGTTGTTGTTGTAGGTCTACTTCTTTGACCACAATATGGTAAGATATTAATATTTCATGTTCAAAATATATGAAAGTGGTTGGGGACTGGGTGTCTCAGATGCTCACCTCGACCAACAATAGATTAAAGTCGCCACTCATGAGTATTTAGAATTGTCTGCAAAGAAGTATGTTCGTTTTTATGCATATGTCTTCTGTGTTTGTTTTTTGTCATCAAGTTGGACCTTAAAGGCGTTTGATTGGACGAGGGAGAGTGTTGATGATTTTAGCATGCATTCGGATTTTGATTAGGTTCATACTTTTTATATTTAATGCAACTTCACAGAAATAATGGAATTTACACACTAAAAACGTAATACGACCAATTCGTTTTCATGTTTTTTTTAACCAATGGTTGTCATTTAATTTACTTAAAGTTGTTTAACCTCAAATTAAACCTAACTGACACCACATATACAATGGGTCTTATGATGTTTGTTATTCTTTACACAAAATTCCATTGCGTTTCGTCATTTGAAACACAGGCGCTTGGGGAAAATGGATCCCCTTTATAAATATATTTTATTTTTTGTGTATTTTTATTTATATTTTTAAAGTCAATATTCCTCAATACTTTTGTTTACTTATTAAATGTGTTCTTGTTGTTATGCTTGTGATTTTATAATAACATTATTTTTTCTATGATGACAAAAACTTGTTATTTATTTTTTTCAACATTTTTACACGTTACCCTATTTACATATTTTCAAAACCCGGATAATTGTATTGGTGATTTAACATCTACAGAATGTATCAATGTGATGCTTTTTAGGAAAGGTATGCAATCCACATGTATTAACTGAAAGGTCTACCCGATTAGCTGCTTCATAGCGCTCACGGTGCTTTGATCTTTAACAATAATACTGGATACATTGCAAAAGATATGATCATTTGAGATGTCAAGAATTTTCATGCAAAGTGACTTTCGGTATATGTTTTCTTTGGAGAGGTAATGAATATAGTAGATATAATTAATGTTTCTTTTGGCTTTTTGGTGGATGGAGGAGGTGATATTGATTGGTTAATTGCATTAGTTATTTTGTGTTAATTAATACCAGATGATCATAATAATACTTACAGAATTGTTGCTGAAAGCAAAAGAAAACAACGCATTCTAAGCTAGGTTGCAGTAAGTGAACAAACATTTTCAACAAACCAAAGTTATTATCAAAATAAAAGCCACGCAAAGCACAAAACTTACTTATTCCATTTAAAAACTTTTGATGATAAATTTACTTTAATTGTTGTCATTCAAGAAAGAAAAAGAAATTTCTTTAAAAAAGTTCCATTGCAGTTAAATTTTACCAATATTATATGCCAACAAACGTTATGCAATGTGTGCAACCAACATGCACTAGTATAAATAAAACAAAACCACCTGCAAGAACTTTATATTGATAAGTAATTAGAAATTCACACACAAGAAATAGTCACTCATTGTTAAATTAAAAAATGAAAAGCGATATTAACTATTATATATAACAACAAACTTACGTTTTGTTTCACGAACTGGACACCATCCCCTGGCCTTTCTGTTGAAGTCTTCGCCTTGTAGTATCTCCAAGTCATTTTGATTATCAAGTTTTGTTCTCACTTCGGGAGTGTAATACGGAACAGAAACAGGCTGAGGAGATAATGGTGTCACATTTTGTAAATTTCTGTTTATTTGTTTTAAATTTTCACGGTGATCCAGATGGTGAAATGCTCCTTCCACACTTCCAAGAGGATTTTCCATTGCTGCTTCCCATGGGGACTTTGACGGTTTTGGAGATAACATAGATTCGAGTCGGGTATGTTGAACAACATCAGGTCGCCGAGCATTGCTTTCGTCGATGACCCATTTTTCTGACCTCGCTTGACGTTTTTGAAATAGTTTTGCTCCTCTATTTTTCGGAGACTGAAGGTCCGCAACAAGACTATGACATGTGCTTGGAGACACAACACGATGCTCGCATCTCTTCTTATTCAATCGCAATCTTTCGTATTCATTTTGACTTAAACTCATCTTGTGTGCGTCTGGATCTGGAATAGCAAGCCTGTTTTTAATATTAGGTATACGAAAGGTAAACAACGGCTTGGCTCCCCCGTCGTGTAGGTAAAATTCGCTATCCAGGTCGTGAAGGTCAGCAATGTCCCCTGCAGATGAAGTTCCTTCGTCGTGTATCCACTTCGTTGATTTTCGTCTGCGTTTTGCAAACATCTTGGCACCACGTGCCTTCCGATTAGCAGCCGACGTCAATGATTGGGCAATTCTCTTACATAGCGACATCTGTTCCTCGATAGTTGGATAATTAGCTTCAGGATCGTCGAAGAAGGCAGAATCTGAGTACATTTTCTCTGAAAAGTTGACATTTTTGTTTTATTATAAGTCATAATAAAAATTGGGATAAATAATAAAATGAGCAGCACCAAAATATTTAATATTGTATCGTTGTTCATATAAAAGTTCATTTTAATTAACTGTTACAATGACTGCAAAGATATCAATTATTTGTTTTATAATTAATGTCTGCAATATAAAGTGTCTGCTTTATACATAATCATAGCTCTCATGCATTGTTTTGTAAATATGATGATCTACACGCTGATAATTGTGCATTCTTTTGATCTTTATAACAAACAAATGAAACGTAAGAATTTCCCCCGTAACTAATTACATCTGAGATTACAGAAAAATATGCAATATGGGAACGCTAAGGGACATAAGGTAATAGCTCGGGTTTTAGAGTATGGAGTTCTATGAAAGGAAAATTTGAATACTTGTAGCTTACACTAAATTCCTCTAACGAGCCCCTGATGCCTTTGTCCTTATAACCATTGTTTCATGTTTTACCTAATTATTTCTTGACGTTAGTCGATAGTCAGTTTCTGACAATACATGCATGGTTTGTCAAGATAATGCATTTTATTCTGGTAAATGGTCTATATATCTTTTGATTGCTATCTTAAAACGGACCATATATAATACATGTATGTTTATTTTACAAATTGGATTACATGTTTAGGAATTTCATTAAAATTGTTTTTTAACCTTGGTTCTTCATTGTCTGATATATTTACGGTTTTGTATATGAACATCTATGAATATGAGAAGAAAAATGTGCATTAAACTGAGGAATAGAAGAATTGTATTTGATTTCTTGTCATCTCAAATTGAGGATGTTCAGTGCTAAAATTCAAGATAACATTTTTTTTTTAAGTACACCTTTTCAATAGAAAATGTATAATTATACATTTGAATTATGAATCAATAAAGATGGTCTTGTGTGACTGTTTCTGAGATAAAGACATTTAAGCAATTATGAATTTTGGCGGGGAAAAGATTGCTCTTATGAAAAGTTTGTTAAACTGTATACAAATATGATGATGATGGATGGCTGCTAAACGTCCAGCGGCAAATTAATAAGCATATTCAGGACGAGAACATGTTACTGTAATATGAATATAAACCCTGCTTTGTACTAGACCGACACGTTGAGTCGGAATTTTAACGTGCTAGTTTACAAGGTAACAGTCTGCAGGAAGACATGTCACCTTACCCGGACACATTATTCTAACTCCGATCCGACCAGTCCTTGCTTTTACTCCTCAATGTCGCGTGCTTAGCGGAGAAGCAGCAAATACCAATTTTAAAGTCTTTGTTTGACATGGCCGGGGATCAAACCCAAGACCTCTCGCACTCGAGGCGAACACGCTACCACGAGACCACCGAGGCTGTAATTAAGAAAAATATAAAAAATAACAAAATTGTCAAACTATTTATCAGAGGTGATTTTGGAGAAGTTTAAAAAAATAAATATCGAGAAACATATGTACTAATGGGTAAGTCTGCTCATACTACCAAGGAAAAACACAAGTTACAAAATATCCTGAGAAGCGAACATCCTTACTATTTCTGGTTACTCTTTACGAACTCGAAATGTTAATTTTATTGTTGTCGACACATTGATTTGCTGACATTTGCCGCGATGTTAAATCAAGATTGATGTCGACACTTGTTCAGGTACATTACAGTTATACGCTTTTGTTCCGGAAGACATTGTATTTTGCTCCTTTAATGATAATTTGATTTCGGTAAATGGAAACCGACTTCATAAGCAACATTACAGCAGTATGAGTGAGAAAATGAATATATGTATTTACATTAGGGTCAAGAATTTAAAAAATACACCATTCCTGGAAATTATTGCTCTACGTATTAATATTATAATTTGATGACTGTATTGATGTAGGGTATATATACGGTGTTGCCGTAGAAGTAAGAAATGAAAAGAACAGGTTAAAGCCCTGGTTGGGGAGGAAGTAAAGAATCAGATCTACTCTAACGTTGTTAGGTTCATTTTCTAGGAACTTACATACATACAGTCCAACCTCTATAGAAATGTCCTTCGAACTCTTTTATCGTCTCAAGAGTGTAAAATACTTAGTAAACACCAAGTGAATTTGACGTAAATAAGCATAATTGGAAAGTTTACTATACAACACTGAAAGCGCTCAACTATCAACATTTTTATTCATTTTTATTTAGTGTGAGGAAGTCTGCTTAGTCACAGTTTTAGTTTAAAGTTTGTAAATAGTCAACCCTTTGGGACATCAAACATACTTTTACCCTCTTACCAAGTCAATATCTATTAGTATATAACAGAAAATCTACATGACACCGTTTCACAATTTGCAATCGTAAAACTTAAATGTTTGTTAAGGTTACCAAGGAGGTTATAAACCGAGGGGTGTACCTATTGAAACACTCTCTGAATATCCAATGGAGCGGTAGAGCAAATTAACTATCCTCAGATTGATAGATTGTTGGTTGCTTAACGTCCAGTGGCTACTATCCTCAGAAATAGCATGGATAGTATGTTGATAAAAAATGTGCATGGGTATGTGTTCCTATACTGTTCAATAAAAAAAAAATGACATCTTTGACAAGACATTTTAACTCAGAAAATTTGAATACAATCGGAGTACATGTATATAACAAATTGGCAGAAAGTTTCCACGAAAATGTATTAAACACAGATTTTCACAAGTATTTACTGCAATGATAATGTATGTAAACTTACTTTTTCGTGTTGTGGCGCCAGTCGATTCTGTATCCGGGGTTTCTGGTCCCGTAGCCTCGCTTTCAGGAAGACTTGTTACCCTTCGTAGGTCTAGAGGTGGTAGGTTATTTCGATCATATCTTTCATCCTCGTTATACATATTCTGTTCATTTACAAAATCATCATAGCTAATTTCCACCTTTGGTGCAAAAACTGGTAAATGATGATGATGGTGGTGATGGAATTCATCTTCATGTGGATGAGTATCGATTATGTCGTCGTCGTCATCATCTACTAATTGAACCTCTGGAAAATGGTAGTCATGACTGAACATGCATGGATCCGGAATATACTGCCTGTCTCGTAGATCAAATGCATGCACATTTTTATCAAAATTCTTTCGCTCTTGTAATGGTTTTGGTGGAACAGCTGGACCAGACTTGGATGACGATGGCGAGCTTATTGTTTCCTTTATGTTTCTGACACTAAAGTTTGGTACCCTGACTGGTGATATATTTTCTTTGGAATCTGAAAACCTTTGTGGTGGCTGCCAAACATTTGGTGAAGTTGGTGTTGTTACTTGTTTTGGATGGAATTTTGGAGCCTGCGTAATAACTTGTCTCTGCTGAAAAACCGATCTTGTCTGTCGTCCATCTGGTGAATTATCTTGAAATTGTCTGGTTTGAACATGTCTAGTGGTATCCCCTTCTCTGGTGGTATATGCTGATTCCACAACTTTTGGTTGATACGGACTTGGCGATCTTTTGTTACTGATTGGATTAGTCCTAAAATTAGGACTTGGAGACCTTTTGGCGCCGACATGGCTCACTGCCAAATTTGGATTTGGCGTTAAAACTCTGTTATTTTCCTGTTGGTAAGGACTTGGTGATCTCTTTGGAGTGAACGATACTGGGCTTACTCTCAGATTTGTTGGATTTCTGTCGTTTGTTAATAGTGAGTCATGACCATTGACAACTGGTGCTGGCTGACTGACATTTGTAGGTCCGTTCCTTCAAGAAAACAAAGACATTCACTAGTAAATACAAGCATTCTGTGAGTATTGCATGGTAATACATTGTCCCCTACCGGTTAAAAATTCATTGTATTGGAACAAAATTCTAACTAGATCTATAGCTTGTCATGGTGTACAAACTATACAACAAATATCAAGTCAATATCTTCAAGCATGACGAAAAAAGAAAGTTAAAATTGATTATTTAAGTGAATTTTCTAAGTCCAAGGACCATAACTCTGCACAAAATCATCAGACGGGAACAAAATTTGAAATTGATCTGTTACTTGTCATTATAAAACTATATACCAATTATCAAATCAATATTTTCAAGAATGACAAAAAAAAGAGCGGAAAACTGATTATTTTAGTGAATTTTCTAAGTTCAAGGACCATAACTCTGCATAAAATCATCAGACCGGAACAAAATTCGAACTTAATCTATAACTTGTCATGATAAAACAATGCACCAAATATCAAATCAATATCCTCAAGCATGAAGAAAAAAAAGTGTGGAAAACTGATTTGCCGGACTGACGGATGGACAGACGGACGACTTCGTCGGTAGGGGACTAATAAAGACGATTCCCTTTTTTTAAAAAGGTCCTATATCTAATTAATGAGAATGGAGTATAAGTTTGGTAGTGATTATATAAAAGCTGGAGAAAAAAGAATTTCAACAACAAGCTATTTTCTGCAATTATAACCCCACACCAACCACACAACCCCTACAAAAAAATCATGCCAATAACGGAGCACTAAGTACTAATCTAAACTCTTTGACTTAAAATTCAGAAGCAGTGGTACCGACCAAATGGTAATAAAACTTATGCCGATTTGATTTCGTTGCGCACACACAACACGTGTTTCTAGAAATACCTTCATGAAATACGATATTGATTCAGTATGGATAGCAAAAACAATGTAAAATGTCTGATCGTATAAAAATGCAAGGGTAAACACCTAGAACAGCCAAAACCGCATAAGTTTAACTTTGCCCGAAGGATATGCAGTCTCAGTACAAATGTAAATTAATTCTTTTTTGAGATTATAACTGCATATTAAGATATATACACTTATTCTTGAAAAACTGCCATGCGAAATATATTGAGTTTTTTTTTTTGTATAACTATACTTTAGCTGACTTTACTTTCATACCTGGACATTTCAAATGTTAGCGAGTCCCCGGCATTGTCAACAATGAACATGGCATCTTGGTGCGATTTTCCCGCCATAGAAATTCCATTAATGCTTATGATAACGTCTTCTTCCTGAAGACCTGACAAGTCAGCTTTACTCTTCTTTCTTACCTGGCATGGAGATAAAAATTATTACACAATACAGCCAATGACTGCAATATATAAGTATAAAGTATACAGGGTTCGGTACTGGGTCCTCTTTTATTTCTAATATTCATTAATGACATTGCAGATGATATGATTGGATTAAGTAGAATGTTTGCAGACGATACATCTATTGGACATACTGCTCCAGATGAAACTACTCTTCAATCTATGATAAATATCGATCTACAAAATATGAATTCCTGGGCAAATGATTGGCTAGTTAAATTCAATCCCAATAAAACTAATATCATGTTGTTTAGTAACAAAAATTAAAAAAATAACTTGATTTTTTATTTTGGCGGAGTTCAGGTAGATATAGTTAATAGTCACAAACATTTAGGTATATTTTTTTAGCAGTGACTGTAAGTGGACCAAGCATATTGATTCTTTAATAGAAAAGGTATCAAAAAAATTAAATGTTCTTAGACGTTTGAAATTCCGACTAAAAAGGGAATATTTAGAAAAAATATATTTGACTTTTATTAGGCCCGTTCTAGAATATTCTTCTGAAGTTTGGGATAATTGCGGACAGTTAAATTCTGAAAGATTAGAAAAATTACAACTGGAAGCAGCACTTATTGTCACTGGTTTAACAAGCTATGCTAGCACTCAATCACTTTATTTAGAGACGGGATGGGAAAAGTTAAAGATTAGACGGGAAGTTAAGAAATTAACTTTATTTTACAAAATTATGAAAGAGGACGCTCCAGAATACTTATTAGATTTAATACCCCCTACAGTTGCAGAAACAAACAATTACAATCTACGAAACAGTCAAAATATATACCAAACCTCTAGCAGACTGTCCCTTTATCAAGAATCATTTATTCCATCTAGTATTAAACTGTGGAATTCGCTCGATTTAAGTATTAGAAATGAACTGTCTTTAAATATGTTTAAATTAAAAATTAAACAGAAATATTATAAAAACAAATCACTCCCTACATATTTCACTATTGGCGATAGATATTTAAATGTTTTGCACGCAAGATTAAGAAACAAATGCAGTGCCCTTAACATGGATCTGTATCACGCAAATATTAAACCTAACGCAATGTGTCAATGTGGTTATTTATATGAAAATGCTCAACATTATTTCCTTTCATGTAAAAATTATACAGCTCAAAGGAATATCTTATTTTTTGAACTTAGAAAAGAAAATATACCTACTGACTTGGAAACTTTAATGTACGGTAATGATATGTTTAATATGAACATAAACACGCTAATTTTTACAAAAGTGCAGAATTATATCAAAGACACCGATCGCTTTTCATAGTGTATAGACATTATGGTTAAATATATAACAATAATAATGTAATTACTTTTGTTGACTTCGAATGAAATTGTTAATTTTTTTCCAAAGACATGGATCATCAATTTTAAAATCCTATCAGTTGACAACAACAACTTAATTTAATTGCTTTAAAATAATAACTTACCTTTTGAGTGAATATTTATTCCAAATTTAAAACAACCTACTAGGTCTATCATAAATAAATTTACGGTCAACTCGACTTTTAGAAATCGATGAGCCATGTCGTTTAAATTCTTGTTAATTTCATGTCTCTATATTAATATTGTTTATGATGTTATTATTATGTATTTTATTTTGTTCGGTTATTTATTATTTGTATGTAATGGAGAAGACGTTCTAAGTTGCAAAACTTGTGTCTAATCCTATTGTCAATATTTTTGGACAATAAAATATGTTTAAACTAATATATAAGTTTCTCATATCCGTTCGAATTTTGATTAGTAAAGGTACCGAAACACCCCCCCCCCCCCCCCAGCTCTGTAAAAAATAATCGTGGTCTAAAATTTAAAGGTTTTAGTCATCTTTTAATAGGGGTACAAGTTTCAGTAATAAACTCTTTGAACGCAGTTTAGATTGGTTTCTAGTAAAAGCAAGCAGTATCATATTTAAAAAAAAAATTGTACTTGGAACCATTCTTTTTGATATTCAATGTGATTAAATCACTTTAAACCTGAGAAGAGAGGTGTTCTTATATATCTTTGGACTTATTTACATGCTTCAGTTCTTTAAGTACCATTTTAATTAAGTTTCACCTCATTTACTTTCATACGGTATATGAACCAAAGGTGATGTATGATAAACCTCAATCAGAAAGGAACCAAACAACATAAGTAAACTGAAATACGCGTCTAGGTATTCAACAATGTAGAAACACACGCACTTTATTACAAGCTCTGAAGCGCTCCGACTATAGAGACATCTTCATGTGTTAAAAGAAAGAGACGGGAATTTGTAAGTCTACACAATGACATGAAATGAGTATTTCCAACAGTATTGAGGGCCATACACTTTCAGCAATACAATTAATGTGTAATGCTAACGAACATGACACCTTAACCACACCCTTTACCTCCAAGACATTTGTTGCAATAACTATCTCTTACATAATTTAACCATATCCACCAAAGTCTTAATGACGAAGATATAAGTAAGTATAGGTATTCCGGCGTACGGTTTTCAGCAATGAGAAAACCACATACCGTACAGCCAGCTACTCTGTTTGTCATGCTTAGTATTTCTTTCTTGAACAAACTTCCTCAAATACGTTTGAGACCTACATTTTGGAAAGCCAAATCATATAAACTTTAAAGCATGAACACCAAAAATGATTATTACAAATAGTATAAATTAGATGGAGTTAAATTCGCTAAAGAGTTTGCATTGTCGATATGATCTTTTTTATAACCAAAGAAATAAAAATTGATCAAGGATGTAGGTTGATATCAACAGGTCCATCAAAAACTAATAAAGACCGATACAGTATAGCTGTATACAATTATTCAATGACCAAAATACTATTATTTTTAATTAACAACGCACATTCACTAACACAATGAAAGCAAACACAATTTAACGTGCATTTATCACACAATATGAGAACTAGTCTAATCTATCTTTAGTTGACAGATTATAACAAATAGAATTATTCTGTAATAACGTAACAAACCGAATAATCAAAAGATCTTGAGAATCATATCTATATCTCATACGTGCATTCTGAAGCTATCGTCCCCTGGACGTACAATAATTGACCATAGAGAAGAGTAAACACGTACATTTACCATAAGTTCAAGTCGAATGACATTACGTAATTTTAGTAATTAATCAAAATGGTTGAACATGACATTCGAAATAAAAACAAAGTTTCAGCTTGCCTAGCAAAACATTGTTTTCTCTGACAATGATATCATCATGCTTTTATTTACGGTTGCCATGGAAACAAACAATTGCAACATTCTTTCGGTAACATATATACGATGTAAGTCTTATTATAAACCACCGACTGTGACATGGATTTATTACATATGTTTCTAGATATTATGCTTATTTTGATATGCTGTGTACAGCTGTTTTATATCTTTTTTAAGACAGTTACATAATATTCATAAAAAAAATAATGAATTATTTCATGGCAAAATATTCAAAAGTTCCTATATAAAATTTAGCTCTGACATCATTACCCATTCTAGCTTGGGTGTGCCTTAGTTTTTCATTGGCTTTTTATTAAAATATACCTGTAAATAGGTACGTCAATAAACAGGGATCATACCCATTAACATGTTTTGTACATTTTCGAAACTTCCTAAAATATTTGTAAAAGGAAGCCAATTATATATAACGTTTTGTAACATCAAGTGCAAAAAGGGTCTAAACAGAAAACCGTCTGAGGTCAACCGTGTTAGAGGGTGTTTCAAGCTTAGTTTTTGGTATATTTAATTTAGAAATTGAAAATTTACAAATACAATTTTAATGCAATTATTAATAATAAACTCCCATTTTCAGAAGAAAAAGTTGAGACATAGAGACCAGTGAGGACTCTTCCGTGTACAGCAAATACCAAGAATACTTCTACCCTGTGGTGATCATGGATAACAGACAGTCTAGCGAAAATGCTATCCGATTAACAGAGCATTGTGCCTTTACTACAATGGGGCTACAACGGATGCCATTTTTGCTCAAAAGGGTTAATAATACGGGAACACACGATATATTTTGACATTATAACTGACAGTATTTTTTTTTCTGTAATCGGTTTGCAAAAATGTCCATCGCTTTCACCAACAGCATCAAATGATATTCGTGCACAGTATTGACATTATACATGAAAACAATGTTTCGCATACATAAAATAAAAAACGCATGTTTTCTATATTCTTACCTTAGCTACTTGAAGCGGGAAACTTTCTCCACCAAACAACCGAAATCCCCATGGGCTACCACCTGTAAGTGTGACGGTAAACTGGTTTCCACGGCCCATGTTTATCCCCAGGAATCAGTAAGTTTTTTTAATGTTTATTTACACATCCATTTCATCTGCTGTTTCCTGGTAGCGGCAGCTATTGGTAGCCCTGTAAAACAAATCCAGATACGTGCTAAAAGTTATGTTTACATTATATTCCTAGTGATTGCGCCTGATGTTTTCTAAGGCGACAGAAATTGCTACCTAACTGCGGAAGAAATACGTCTGTTCATCATAGTCAGATTTTAAGTACGGAGAATTGATTATGACAAGTAGTTATCTAAATCAAATGAAAGGCGAAAAGTAGCAAATAAAAGCAATTTGTCTTTGGGTGCATGAAGGTGTTATAAAGAGTAAGGTGACTAAGAAATCTTAGTATAGATAACTGAAGAGTGTGTCAGCAAACTTATTTAAAAAGGACAAAGATTTGTTTTCAAAATTTGATACTTTTAAATGCTGGAAAAGACAATGCTTATAAAAGAACTAAATGCAAAAACTTTCTTTCGATTTTATGAAAGAGATTATTCAGTCTCTTTTTCAAATACAGTGTTGGCATAAAAGACTTTACGACATTTTATATTTATATTACAGCAATCACAGGATGTGGTACTGATCATCGATTCCAAAAAGGATCGTCTAGATGCATTGATGAAATGGACAATTGTTTTGAACTGTTAACTTTATAATATGGGATTGAAGTGATCGACATTTTAACAGTGATTTAAGTCTTGTATGGATTTGGGATTCTTTTCATTAATAAATGTTTATTTTGAATGATTTTTTATTTCTAACCAATATAAACCACGGAAAAGCCTAAAGGCTTTATGATAGGTAATGGACCCTCATCCAAACATCAAGGATGTGATGGATGTGGGTCATTATTTGAATAAGCCGTAAGACTTTGAGGGTTTAATTTCCCTCCCATATCCCACCATACACTTTAAACTCACAAATCATATACATTTACTATATTGAATTTCTTTTAAAAAAGCGCGGGGAGATAGATGTATTGGCTTATGGCTGTGTTTGGATATACGCCTAAGGCAGCCTATGGTTACCCATAGGTATCTTTGGGTACCCATGGTTTGATATTTTGATATATAGAATATCAAACCAAAGGTACCTATGGATAACCATAGGCCACCTCTGGCGTATATCCAAACACAGCCTATATATCACCCCAGTAATCACCCGTGCATGAAATCTCTTATTGTACGTATTGCTAGTTTATTTGTGTGTCCTGAATAAAGGAGGTGTTGGTTTTACGTCCATGAGACAACAACCCAACACTTTACTAATAGTCAAAATGGCATGTATAGAGGTCAACAATCGGTCCACAACTAAGGCTGTGTTTGGATATACGCCAGAGGTGGCCTATGGTTATCCATAAGTACCTTTGGTTTGATATTCTATATATCAAAATATCAAACCATGGGTACCCAAAGCTACCTATGGGTAACCATAGGCTGCCTTAGGCGTATATCCAAACACAGCCAATACCTTCAATCTATTGTTTTAATCTAATTTGACACAAAACTAATCTTGGCATTTGTATGACCATTGTTCATAAATTCCGATGTATTACTATTGTTTCATAGAAAATTACCGATAAAGTAAAATTTAGAGAACGTTTTTGAAAAGTAAGGAAATCGGGATATGGGGTGGATGTATAAAAGACAACAATCATTTGAAATATTAAGAGTAAATACAACAATTATATATATATATATATATTTACTTGATAGTTAGTTACATGATCTTTGATATTAGTCGATAAACACTTAGTCTACATTTCTGTAACTAAATAAAGATTCTTCTACTGGAAAAATCTGAGTTATCTTTGATAATAAGAGAACAAAAATCACTGTTATTGAAACATTTAAAAGTAAAAGTAGAATGTGTCTGAGGACACGAATGTCGCCGCTCAAATTTTGCAATTTTCCAAGTTAAAAAGGGGCATAACTCTAGAACGGTAAATGACTTACAACCCAAATTCGAAATCTGTCTGTGTGTAGTGGTTCTTAGCATTGTGTATGTGTTTCATTAAAATGAAGCAAACTAAAGTTAGAGTGCGGAAGCGAAAATGGGACGGACGGAAAGACGGACGGTCAAGGGCAATTATTAATGTCCCCGTTGCCTACGACGGGGGCATAAAAATAATAAAACCTTCCAAGTTATCTACATGATTTATTTGATATTAAAATTCAGAACAATAATTTTAGATCACAGGAAACAGCAGTAATCCTACGAGTCAAACCATCTAGGTAAGGTTTGAAATCGTTTCGTTTATCGCTGCACAGAATTAGATGCCTAACCACTATCGCGTTGAAATATCTTTCTAACTTTTTAAAAACTGGTACAAACATTGGATCCAAATAACAGCTTATGCCGGTGTAATGAATATATAAAGTGCTTTGAATTTAAGGCTTGTGCTTTTTTTAGTTTGTTAAAATGTTTGATTTGTTTCGCTATTTTTAGTTGCCATTATATTAGCTACTGTGCTTATTGATTCAAATTAAAATGTCATGTTTTCAAAAATGCTTTATTTCATCCTGCAGTTTTCTGAAACTTGACTTAAAAGTATGCTTTTTATTTGACATTTACTACCTTACCATGCATTACATGTTTAAAATTGATTGTTTGCATGCATTTTGTATATATATTAGACCCTCTACAAAGAAATTTGTTTTGCATGCACACGTATAAAAATTGCGGTTTTTATCCAACGCAATCATAGGTTTGAACGTTGTATTCAATTTAGACTTGTTCATATTTTTTCGTTTGGGCTTGTATTATATTTGCCTTCGGGTTTATATGATCCGTTCATCCTATTTCTACTCTTTCAAAATTCAAGAATCTATCCTAAATTGAGGTAAATTAAATGGCCTTCCAAATACCGTTTCGATTCCTAACATCACTGAAGAGACATTAATTGTCGAAATCCGGATATGGTGTACAAATTTTTGCACCTCATGTTTGCGGTATACCATCTTTTCCGCAAGTTTATTGTTTTCTGTTTGGTAATAAATTAATGATAAGATCCATTTTGTTACATCTGGTGATCCGTTTATTTGGCAATCGTCAATGACAGTCAGCAGGGTTTAACAACATCAGTTGTTCGACCTGCTAGTCAAATGCGTTTTGTTAAAATATACTTTTTCACTTTTTTGGTCTTTTGGAAAATGTTGTTTGTGCTGTATTTAGACCCCTCTACCAAGAAATTTGTTTTGTATGCACACGTATAAAAATTGCGGTTTTTATCCAACGCAATCATAGGTTTGAACGTTGTTTTCAATTTAGACTTGTTTATATATATATATATATATTTCTCTAATTCTTCGTCAATTTATCCCTTTCTGCACCCATTGTATAAAAAAAAATTAATCAACGTGTGGTTCGTTTGATCTCAGTTCTTCATTGGTTAAAATCCGATTATGACGTCGAATTTTCTTGCTTTCCTCTGAATTTCCTATTGTGACGGCATGAAAAAAGGCGACCATGCCTGATGACGTCACATAGAAAGAACACATCTTTTTGCAGATCTGATTCGAAAAGAAGGAATAAATTTGCCTGCGTATTGTTTGAAAATCATTAGAGAAACAGATTCCACCACCAAATCTCGTGTAATACGATATTTATCCACTCTCGACAGTTAAATTTTAAATATTTAAAACGCTCGGCGAGCCTCGCGTTTTAAATTTGAAAATTTAAATGTCTCGAGTGGATAAATATCGTATCACACTCGATGCAGTGGTAGAATCTATATATATATATATATATATATATATATACATATTGTTATGTTGTCGATTTGCATAGCTTACCTAAAACGTGTGCTTTGCAGCCTTTTTGTTGAATATCGGCTTTGAATCAAACCTTGTGTTGAAGTTTTAAACTGGCAAATGACAACTAGTCTTTCTACAGACAACACAGAGAAAAACACTTAAAGAGTTTACAATTTGTCAATAAAAAAAGATCAACTGACAAAAAGTTTTGAAACCACGCACTGCCAACGAAGCTGTAACATCTTCAAACATTATCTGATGAACAGATGTTAATATTTTTTTTACATTAAACAGTGAATATAATGTAAAAAAAATCAAGATGTTTCGAATAAAATAAAGATTATAATACTGCAAAAATTGAAAGTAACGGGTAGTTACATATACTATGACGGCTTTTGTAATTGGACATAACAGGGGTTAATTAATGAATCCGTAATTAGAAACCAGAGAGTGCAAAAAGTTCTGATCTTTACGTCACATTATATCATAGATAAATACAATCAGTTCAGATGTTAATTCATTACAATCCCTGGTTATGTTATATCTGATAATAAACAGAGTTAAATTCTCACTCACAAATGATTTCTTATTAGAAACATATATAAAAATATTACTATTTTATCGTTTTCTACACCTGGTATGAACAACATGAGAGCATAACAAGTCGATGGCTCGTTACAGAATTTGAACCAAAAAGGATAGGCCGCCAAGTACCCCTGTATATATTTCACTCACAGGATCAAAATATAAAAGTTATAAAATTCTACTTGAACTTGAATAGTAAAGAGTTTTCATATCATATACTCAATACTTTTTGTCCATTGTTTTACAAATTTCCGGTGATAAAATCAGAATGCAATTCAGCACTATGTTGCTGTTGATGGTATTTTGATACTATTTTGCGAAATTTTGCATCATGTGTATACGAGAAAGACAATCTACATGGGTTGAATGCAAATTTTACCAGAATCCAACTATAGATGGCTTTCAACTTATTATGAACTTTTCCACGTCTGGATAGATGTCACATCTCCTTATTTTATTATGGCTGTTCACGCTTTGTTGGATATATCCGCCAGAGCAAAACGTAATTTTAGGTCCGTATAAGAACTAAAATGTGCAAAATAGATCTCCTGCATGATTAACCTACAGAATGTTTGATGTATTAAAGACCATTTGAAAATCTGCGCTATCACATATAATGTATACAAAATAAATGGAACAAAGTTACATGACCAGTCAAATTAGTTAAAATACTTCTTTGGTGAAAGTAATTCCAGTTAGCAAACAATATTTCTATATCATGTTTCTAGATGTACAAAGG